CTGAAGATACCGGGTGAGTATTCTATCACTGAGATACACTCACACTCCCTTACCCACGTGTAAGTGTCAAATTCAGCAGCATTAAGAACACACACAGTGTCGCTCAATCATCATTACCATCAATTTCTAGGCGTTCTCTCCCACTGCATACACAGAAACTCTGGACCCTTTCCACAGTAACTCCCCACTGATCCTTTCCACTGGCCTCTGGTACTTGGCAGAGTGTTGAGAAAGGAGTCAGAGGACTCAGACAAGTGCAATGCCAGAGTGGAAATTGCCATGCCAGGTGAAAGCACAGACCATTCAGTCCTCCAGGGAGGCTCAGAGAGCACGGGTCCTGGTTTCCCATTGCTATTGAGACACCACCATCAAGGCAACTTAGAAAAGGAAGTGTTCTGTTTGGGCGTATGGTTTCAGAGGGTTAGATCCATGAAGGTGGAGCAAAGTTGTGGTAGCAGGAACAGCTACAGGCTTACATCCAGATCTACAAGTGGAAGCAAAGGGAGTTAACTGGAACTGAGGCATGGGTTTTTGAAATCTCAAAGCCACCTCCAGTGGCACACTTCCTAATCCTTCTCAAACAAGGTCCACCACCTGGGGACCAAGTATTTAAAATTTAAATGTCTGAGCCTATGGGGACATTCTCATTCAAACCACCAAAGCACCCCCTTCACTAGCTCTGCAAGGGACATGTAGGTCTGAGGGTATCACAGAGTTGGGGTACTCCATCAGAGATGTACAAACCTAATATACCCATGGCTAAACTATCATCTGATTTTCTTTTTCTTTGTGTGTGTGTGGGGTCAGGCCCTGAAAATCTGACCTTCCTGCCTCTACCTAAGTGCTGAGATTAGTGGCATGCACCATGTCCAGTTTATGAGTGCAGGGGAGTGGGGTTCGTGCCTTTTAACAACTGAACTACATCCTTAGTCCCTATCTGGCTTTATTTAAGCTCTTTATGCTGGTGGACCAAGAGGCTGAGAAAGAGGAGCTATAACAGCTGATAGGGATAATCAATAGTTTAGCCTGAAGAGCTGGACAGGAGACATGGCCCAGCAGTGTCAAGGAAGGGAATGACTGGAACTCAAGGGAGCTATAGGGCGTCTCTCTGTGCTTCGGTGTCCATTAATAAGGGCTAACAGGCAATCGTGGCAGCCAAGGAGTCCGACTGTGCATCTATCTGGTCCTGGTGTGGTGACAGCGGATGATTGTAGATCTGCTGGAGCTGGCCACAGGAACCTCTGCAGAGAATGCTCTAATGCCTATGCTGACTGAGACTGCTGTCCCTTGCTAATCTCTGTGTGGACTTATTCTCTTACGCTCTGATAATTGTCCAAGAGTCCCCAGACAAAGCCTCAGAGATCTCAGAGCATTAGAAAATAAAACGTCCATAGCCGGTCCAGACTGACGCTGGTCCAGACTGACGCTGTGTGGAGGGAAGTTGAGTCTTTATGTACCCCAGGCCCTGACTTTTGCCAGCGTGGAAAAGCCGGGAATCACCTCAACCCACCAAGCAAGGTCTAGCAATCATCACCTAGCTAAGGAGATGTTTGGAAGTTGCCAGGACGCAGGAAGGGTATAGGGTGACCTCCAGCGTGCTTGAGGACCAAGGATGCTTCAGTCTCAGCCACTGAGTCCCAGCACTAGGAACAGTACCCTTGGTTCCTGCCACATAGTCCAGCCTCCTCAAGGAAGACGGCTGCGTTTCCCTTTGTCTTTGTGGAGACCTGGATGGTCCTGTAAAGCAAGCTTGGCGACCCCTGTGAGCTTAGGAGACAGCCCCAGGAGACAGTGAGAAGGAAGGCTCCTCCTCATGGGGCGGCTTGAGCCTAGCTGCTGCTCTGCAGGCAGTCAGGAGTGGGAGCTGCAGCCGGGACTGAAGAGGTTAACGTGCATCTGCCTCCGAATGTTAATGTGTCTAGGTGATGTCAGTGGGAGCTGGGAAGGAGGGAGTGGGGCGAGCAGTTGGGCTCAGAGGCAGCAGAGGCTGCCAGGCGGCAGAGGAAGACCCTTTTCTGGACTGCAGGGCTGGCTCACGCTCGGGACAAGGCGGTGGCAGGCTCTGGAGGCTGCCGCAGCCTGCGTGGGTGGACGGGCGCTCAACTCCAGGGAGCAGGCGACCTGCACCGGCTGCATGGATCTGCAAACCTCGTTGCTGTCCACTGGCCCCAATGCCAGCAACATCTCCGATGGCCAGGATAATCTGACATTGGCCGGTGAGTCGAGTTAAGAGTCCTCCCTCCTTTGGGATGGGTGTGGAAAATGCGAAGGTTTCACCTCCAGAGCCAAACTGCCTAGGAAACTTTATCTTACAGTTCTCAATGATAAGATCTGCAGTCTGCTTTGCCTGGAGGGGAAGCAGAGAGGAGGGGACAGCAGCTAGGACAGAAGGGGTAGGAAGGCACAGAGACACATCTAGAAATAACAAGGGTTGGTGGCGATGAGGCGGTGTGAGGCAGGCAGGGGAAAGCTTACTGATGAGTCCCAAATATGCTTTGCATTGGGGGCATAAAAAAAAAATCAAGGCTGAAAAAGCAAGCAAGGGAGCAGGCGGGTAGCATGTGGGAGCCAGCGGAAGCTCTTTGATTCACCGCTATCCTGGGCTCAATCCTGTGGCCTCGCACTGGGTAATGGGGTCTGAGTGGTCCTTGCTGTCCTCTGGCAGAGGCTGCTGGGAGCAAAAGACATCACAGGGCGTGAGAGGATTAACTTTTCTGGTGAATTAAGCTTCTTGACATTTGCAGAAATTCTAGCTTTGAAGGAGAAGGGAGGAAAGGGAAAGGCAGACGGTTTATGTGGAGAAAATTCTCAAGCTTTTGGGATATAACACAGCGTCAGTCTTAGCCATACTGGGGAAGCCCAGGCTCAGGAGACATGGCCCAAGGAAATCCCTGTCAGGAAGCCTGGGGAGGGCTGGGCTGTTCAGCCTAAAACACATCCCACACCCACAGTGACAGTCACTCCGGGGATGTGCCTAGGAATCTGTATAAAGCCTTTGGCCAGCTATCTGTGAAAAGATGAGAGTGCAAATAAGGAAACACACACACACACACACACACACACACACACACATCAGCGCATTCTTGAATGCCCTTCAAGTTTTTTTTTGACAAGGTTTCCTGGTGAATCCCAGGGATGTGAGGCTGTTCTCAGGAGATGTCTGGGAGTCTTGACTCCTGGTCCTCTGAGTAAATGGCTGAAGTAGGTCCTTTGAGTAACAGGTGGGATAGGAAATTGGTAGGAGTCTTCACCAGGGAACAGTGAAGGAAGGTAAGGGACAGGATTAGCAATAGTGTGGGAGGGAAGACAGTGGGAGATGATACAGTGACCTCCAGCTGAAATCGGGATCACGGGAGGTCAGCAGGAGTGCCACTGGATGGCAGGCTGTCAGCTCCTAGAGCAGATGGCAGGTCACACTTGCTCTTTCTGTCCTCAGGGTCACCTCCTCGCAAAGGGAGTGTCTCCTACATCAACATTATTATGCCTTCCGTGTTTGGCACCATCTGTCTCCTGGGCATTGTGGGAAACTCCACAGTCATCTTCGCCGTGGTGAAGAAATCCAAGCTACACTGGTGCAGCAACGTCCCAGACATCTTCATCATCAACCTCTCTGTGGTGGACCTGCTCTTCCTCCTGGGCATGCCTTTCATGATCCACCAGCTCATGGGCAACGGGGTCTGGCACTTTGGGGAAACCATGTGCACCCTTATCACAGCCATGGATGCCAACAGTCAGTTCACCAGTACTTACATCCTGACTGCCATGGCCATCGACCGCTACTTGGCCACCGTCCACCCCATCTCCTCCACCAAATTCCGGAAGCCCTCTATGGCCACTCTGGTGATCTGCCTCCTGTGGGCTCTCTCTTTCATCAGCATCACCCCTGTGTGGCTCTATGCCAGGCTCATCCCCTTCCCAGGGGGTGCTGTGGGCTGTGGCATCCGCCTGCCGAACCCAGACACTGACCTCTACTGGTTCACTCTATACCAGTTTTTCCTGGCCTTCGCCCTGCCTTTTGTGGTCATCACCGCTGCATACGTGAAAATACTGCAGCGCATGACGTCTTCGGTGGCCCCGGCTTCTCAACGTAGCATCCGGCTGAGGACAAAGAGGGTGACTCGCACGGCCATCGCCATCTGTCTGGTGTTCTTTGTGTGCTGGGCACCCTACTACGTGCTACAGCTGACCCAGCTGTCCATCAGCCGCCCCACCCTCACATTTGTCTACTTGTACAACGCGGCCATCAGCCTGGGCTACGCCAACAGCTGCCTCAATCCCTTTGTGTACATAGTACTCTGTGAGACCTTTCGGAAACGCTTGGTCCTGTCAGTGAAGCCTGCAGCCCAGGGGCAGCTTCGCACGGTCAGCAATGCTCAGACAGCTGATGAGGACAGGACAGAAAGCAAAGGCACCTGACACTTCCCCTGTCACCTCCAAGGCAGGTCACCACATCAAACCATGGGGAGAGATACCAAGATAAACCCAAGGCTACCCTGGGAGAGTGCAGGGAGGCTGGAGGCTGGGGGCTTGTAGCAACCACATTCCACGGGGCCCATAAATCCTTTGGGAGGCTTTGAGGGGAGCAGCCAGGTTTGGGGGGGAACTTCAAACCTCAGAAAGCCTGTTGGCGGAACAAGAAGAAAATGGTGATTTGACTGGTTCTCAGGGGGGCTCTATCTGTTAGCTCACATATGTCTTTTCCCAAGGGAAGAGGTTGAAGGTGCCTGGCAGTAATCAGGCAGGGCTAGGAGGTGGACAGCCAGGGTCACACTGTGAGATTGTACAAGCCGAGCACTCCCTCTCATCTCTCATTGGTGTGCAAAAAGACAGCCTTTCTTCCAAGCTGGGGATCATCTCTGAAGCATGCGGCCTCAGCTCCAGCATCCTGTGTGGGTTTCATTTGCTCTCTGGGTGATGCATGTTTACAGCGGGGTGGGGCTCTGGGCCCACAGGAGTTTAAAAAACAAAAGAGCCCAACAGCAGAGAATGACAAGGCAGCCTAGGAAGGATGTGGATCTTGAAAGTAATAAAGAAAAAATGAGGGTAAGGGGCTTTCACAGTGACAGGGACATTCTCTTTACAGGGCGCAGCTGTCAGTCCATGGCTGGTCCAGAGTGAGCATTCATGTATTCTGCACGTGTTGGGGGTCACTCCAGTGCCTGATATGTTGGCATCCTCTTTGTGCTTGAGCCTTCCGCTCCCAAATCAAAACGAAATAAAGGCAAATCTCAACCCATGTCATCCTGGAGGCTCCTGCGTAATTGCTTGGGCTTTGGGGACACGGTTAGTCCTACATAAGGAAAGAGGGGTTATTTGACTGTAGTATTTGGATCTTGTTTGGGGCTGCATTTTTAGGGAGGATGAAGTAAGGGATCTGTTTTTCTAAACCCACAGAGGAGTTAGTGACATTAATGGAATTCTGAATCCACCCGACTGCAGAGCTGCTGCTGGACTCCTGTTATCATCAATGCTGCCCCCTTAGGTCCCTAAGTTCTACCCTCATGTGACTCCCCCTGCCCCCCCTTTGCCTCATGCTGAGTCACCAATTGCAGGACTGGCTCTTGGGGGGAAGTCTGAGCTAGTCCCTGCAGCTAAGATCTGCTGGGTGCTTGAAAAGCAGATGGCAGCTGAGGCCACTGGGAGGCAGTCATGGCTGGCTGCTGCTTCTTAGCTCTTGTCATCTAGAGCCATGGGCGTGATGCTCGGCCAAAGTTAAGGAGAGAGCAGGAGCAACTAGTTCAGAGGCTTTCTGGGAGGGGGACCCTCCCTTGCAGGTCACGTAGCGCTTACACTTCATCGCAGAGTTAGAATACTTCAGGCAGCCTTCCCAGGCGCTGGGAGAGCAGTATTTCCTGACCTGAAGTGAGTGCTCCTTCCTCCTAGCAGTAGGGCCTCTAGCTGCCATAGGCGCTAGTCTGGTGGGGGGAAAAGTAAGATTCTCAGGGCAAAACAGGTGGTGCATGTGTGTAACCCCAGCTCTAGGGAGGGCGAAGCAGGAAGACTTAAGAGTTGGGGGGCGCAGAGAGGGTGAAGAGCTCGCCACACATGTCTGGTTCCCCAGAACCCACACAGGCGACTGAGGAAGGAGGGAGCTGACTCCCATAAGTTGTTCTCCACACCCCACACCCACATCCACCACAAAGATAATAAAGTTTAAAGGAAAAAAAAAGAGTTCAGCTGTTAAAGGGGAAGGCAAGAAAAGTAAGAGCTAGAGGACAGGGAGGAGATTTAGGAAACGCCGTCTTGGGGACGTGACATGGTCGTCATTGTACCCGTGAACTCACAACAGCCGTGATCTCTACATAAGATCAAGTTCACATGACCCATCCAGCATCCCAACAGGCAGCGGTCAGTCACTCTTTTTTTCTTTTTTCCCAAGACAGGGTTTCTCTGTAGCTTTGGAACCTGGCCTGGAATTCGCTCGGTAGACCAGGCTGGCCTCGAACTCACCGAGATCTGTGTGCTGTGCTGGGATTAAAGGTGTGCACCACTACCAAACGGGACAGTGCATTAGTTAGACTCAGTGGGTTATATTAACAACAGAAAAAGAAGGGGGAAATGGAGGAAGCAGGACATGCGGCTGGGGGTGCCTGGGGGGATGGGGGGTGAGTTTGGGGTGCAGAGGACGGGGTGCATTGCTTACACACATGAAATTGTCAAAGGATTAAAAAACTATGTATATTCCATTTTTATAAAAAGACCGGGTGTTGGCGGCACAAGCCTTTAATTCTAGCACTCGGGAGGCAGAGGCAGGCAGATCTCTATGAGTTCGAGGCCAGCCTGGTCTGCAGAGTGAGTTCCAGGATAGCCTCCAAAGCAATAGAATCCTCTCTCGAAAAACCAGAGAGAGAGAGAGAGAGAGAGAGAGAGAGAGAGAGAGAGAGAGAGAGAGAGAGAGTTAGTTCAAGGACACCCTGGGCTACAAGACCCTGCCTAAGGAGAAAGAGTGTGGTGACCTAAAGCCACTGGAGATCAAAATAGCAAAGCAGATGTACTAAGTATCTACAGAACCCAAGTAGTGGTGGCACAAACCTTTAATCCCAGGACTCAGGATTAAGAGATAGAGGATCTCTGTTAGTTCAAGGCCACACTGACCACACAAAATTGATCCAGTCTTAACAGAAACAGCTCACACAAAGGTGGTCTCAGCCCTAAGATCACAGGCCTTTAATCCCAGCACAAGGGATGTGGAGACAGGAGGATACGGCTTGGCTTGGCGAAGAAAGGAATATGAGGAGGAGGAGACAGGATATGAAGGCCTTTGCCTCTGAGGATCTATGGAGACAGGATTGCCATTTGAGTTGGGGAAAGGTAAGACCTACTGACTTGGCTGCTTTGCTTCTCTGATCTTCAGCTTGAACCCCAATATCAGTGCCTGGATCTTTTATTTTTTGTGTTACAAAAAAATTTATGAAAGCCTTAAGGTAAATCCTAGGAAGAGCAGCTCTAAGCTCGACCGAGCTTGTCTATGAAGACGTTTCCCCGAGACCTCCACACCCAGAGCCCTCCAAGGAAACTGGGAACCAGCTGAGACGGCCTCTCCTAGGAATACGTGTGACTGAGCCAACAGCCAACAAGGGTAGACACCTCAAAACCTCCAAGGAAGGGCCTTCCTACCTCAGACTGTCAATCCGACAGTGAAGAGACGGAAATGGAAGCAAAGTATGCGGAGCTCTGAGAGTGGGCGGTGATGGTAAACAGGAGAAAATGGGAGCGATCTGGGAACAGCACTGAGGAGGGTATCAGGAAGGCTGAGAGGATGCGAGTGTGGAGACTCTCTCCCGCTCCCATCCCCCTCCCCTCATCAGTAACCTGGGCAGCCCCTGAGATGTCACTGGGTAAGCATGAGCTTGGGCAGCCGGGTGTGGTGTGGTGGTGGCACACACCCAGAACCCCAGCATTTAGGTGGCTGAAGAATGAAGGTCATGAGTTTGAAGTCAGCCTGGGCTACTATAGTAAGCCTTTTTATGAAAAGGAAGAGAGGAGGGAGCAGCGGGGGAGGGGAAGGGAAAAGCACTGTGCCATGAGCCACAGTCAGGATGCAGCGGGGGCGGCCTACTGACACTGTCTGTAGGAGTGGAGGATGACGGGAAGGCTACTATGCAGGTTCAATGAGCACAGCTTTATCGTCTTCTTTCAGCTCGGCTCTTGGCAAGCAAGCCTTGGGCTGGGCACTGGAAGACGCAGAGAGTTCGAGAAGCAGGAAGACTATGCAGTGGCTCTCTCCCCTTCCTTTTCACTCCACATCTCATGACTAGCCTGTCTCAGGGACCGCGCCACGTGATCTCTCCAAACCCAGAGAACTCTCTACAGTGCTTCTCCAACTCTCCTCAGGAAGCGTCTCTTCTCCAGTTGTGAGGATGACCTTTCTGAAATCCTCTGTGGTGGAGGAATCCCACAGCCTAGCTTATGACCGCACAGCATAGCAGCTCACAGGTTCCGAGGGGACCACTGGGAAGGCCCTGTGCAGGAACCTTCAGCAGACAGCAAGGGCACCGTGCAACAGGACTAGCAGTTACACTTATTTATACGTCGTCTGCTATTAATTTTATTGTGTGTGTGTGTGTGTCCATGTACATACATATGTGTGTGAGGTTCGAGGACAACTTTTTGTTTGTTTGTTTGTTTGTTTTTGAGACAGGGTTTCTCTGTATTGCTTTGGAGGCTGTCCTGGCACTCGCTCTGTAGACCAGGCTGGCCTCGAACTCACAGAGATCCACCTGCCTCTGCCTCCTGAGTGCTGGGATTAAAGGCATGTGCCAACAACACCCAGCTCCGAGGACAACTTTTGCTTCTCTTTGTCCACCACGAGTGCTGGGAACTGAACCTCATCAGACAAACTCCTACCCAATGAACCAACTTTCCTGCCCCTTTCACTTTTGTCTTTGGTTTTGGCTTTTAAATTGTGGTAAAATGCATACTTTGCTAGTTTGATCTTTAACCTTTTGGGTTGATTTTGTGTGTGTGTGTTTTTTTCCTTTGGTTTGCTTTGCCAGACAGGGTTTGTCTGTCTGGAAAACTCATGTCCTGGAACTCACTCTGTAGTCCAGGCTGTCCTCCAGCTCAGAGATCGCCTGCCTCTGCCTCCTGAGCATGAGGATTAAAAGTGTGCACCACCATCTAGTTTCCTTTGACCATTTTAAGCGTATAGTTTGGTAGCACTAAGCACATCCACATTATTGTGTAGTCGCCATCATCACCCACCTTCAGAATATTTATCATCCCAAACTAAAGCTCCACTTAAATACTAACTCATGGCTGGGAGGACAGCTCAGACGGAGAGTGCTTGCTATGCAAGCATGTAGACCTGAGTTCCCGCCTTGAATCCATGTAAAAAACAAACAAACAAAACCCACACATGTGCAGGGACGCGCATCTGTAATCCTAATACTTGGGAGGCAGGAAAGAGTCCCTGGGGCTCACTGGCTAGCTGGTTTAGCCTAATCAGTGAACCCCAATCCAATAACAGATTCTAGCTCCAAATACAGGGTGTGACAGGTGAGATGGCTTAGTGTATGAGGTGCTTTCTATACATGTAGCGATAAATACATGTAGAAACATAAAAGTAAAAATGCATAAGCATGGATGACTCCTAAGGAACAACACTAAGTTTCCATCTGCACCCACATGCACACATGTACTAACACACAAAACAAATATGAACTTATTTTGCTCTCTCCTGCCTCCAGCCCCTGGAAATCACCATTCCATGGATTTGACTATTCTAACAGCTCCCATGATGGAACTGCACTGCATGCTATTTATCCATGCTTTGTAACTGGCGGATTTCTCTTAGTGTGATTCCTAAAGCCCATTGATATTGCTGTAGGTGTCAGTACACTTAGGGACGTCCACTATTCTCCTGTATGTAGTCACCACAACATGTTTATCTACAGTGACTGATGGACACTCAGTGTCATCGTCATTTGGCTATTGTGGGAAGATAATACTGCTATCAACATATCTGTGTTAACTGCTAGAGTCTGGGCTTTTAAAGCTCCTCTGGGTATATACTCAGAAGTGAAAACAACGGATCTTTTTTTTTTTTTTTCAAGACAGGGTTTCTCTGTGTAGCTTTTGGAGTCTGTCCTAGAACTCGGTCTATAGACCAGGCTGGCCTCAAGCTCACAGAGATCCACCTGCCTCTGCCTCCCGAGTGCTGGGATTAAAGGTGTGAGCCACTAACGCCCCGGGAAACCAATGGATCTTATGGCAGTTCTATGTTTACTGTTTTGAAGACTTCCTGCAGCTGCTGCATCATCATTCTGCATTCTCATCGGCAACGTACAAGGGACCCAATTCTCTACACCTTAATGGACTTTGCTCTTCTCTCCTCCTCTTCTTCTCCTAGATGAAACCTGCTCTAACAGGTGTGAATTGGTCTTTGCTGCCTCATCGTGAGTGGTGCTGAGCACCCTTCATCTGCTTCATTTGTATCGCTTCTTTGGAGAAAGTGTCTTCAAGTTCTTTGTCCTTTTATTTTTTTAATTTGGTTGTTCTTTTGTTATTGCTAGAATGGTATTTTACTTAACTCAAATTACTAATAATTGGTTCTGGATGCCTTGTTACTAGGAAAAAATAGATAAAAAAAAAACCCAAAAAACAAAAACCCTAAGTTCTTTTTCCTCTGCAGTTTAATGAAATTCTTGCCCTTTTTGCAAAATTGAACAGTGCCTGTCAGGTGACTCAGAGGGTAAATGCGCTTTCTATCAAGCTTTCTGACCTGAGTTCGATCTTGGGGAACCATCTGGCGGAAGGAAAGACCCTCCTCTTATAAGTTGCTCTCTGACCCCCACATGCATACTATGGCATGCAGGTGCCCCTGAGATACATACTCACACTTAAATATGTAAACACAATGAATTATTTTCAATTTTAGGGGTCAGGGAGATAGTTCAGTTAGCATAAACACCCAGGTTGAGTCCCAGCACTGATGTAAAAAGCTAGGTGTGGCTATGCACATGTAAAATCCTGGTGACAGAGACAAGCAGCTTGCTGGGGCTTGCTGCTCAGTCAGCTGAGCCTAATCATGGAGCCCCAAGTCCCAGTGAGAGACATTGACTCAAAAACCAAGGAGGATGGTCCTTGAGGAAGACACCTGTATTTTCTCCAGCCTTCACATATGCTTACACACATGTAACTCATACATTACACACATGCACACATATATAACCTTCACACGAAGGAGAATATGGCCAGGAGCGGTTATTTGAGAAGGACTGGGGGGAATGGCCTTGTTGGTTGGAAGTAGGTGTGGCTTTGTTGGGTGAAATGTGTCACTGGGAGTGGGCTTTGAGTCTTTAAAAGCCCACGCCAGGCCCTCTCCCTCTCCCTCCCTCCTTCTCTCTCTCTCTGTCTCTCTGTCTCTCTCTGTCTCTCTTTCTTTCTCTCTCTCTCTGCCTTACAGATCAGGATGTAGCTCTTAACTACTTCCCCAGCACCATGCTTGCAATCCACTATGCTCCCTGCCATATTCCCCGCCATGATGATGATGGACTAAGCCCTTGACTGTAAGCAAGTCCCCAGTTAAATGCTTTCCTTTTTTAAGAGTTGCCTTGGTCATAGTGTCTCTTCATAGCAACAGAACAGCGACTAAGACAGAGGTTGGTACCAGGAGTGGGGTTAGTGACTAAGACACCCTCCAAAGTCTGTGATCAGCAATGAGTCCAATACATCCAGTAGCTTGAGCTGAGAGGTCAGGAAAAGCAAAGCAGCTAGAGAGTGGTGGGTGGCTTTCCCAAGTGGACATCTAGTTCTCAGTGTCAAAGGCTAGAAGAGGACAGAGGTTCGAGAAGGTCTGAGATGGGATGCGTAAGCCATCACTTACTTGTCTGCAATGCTTCCTCCTGAGAGGAGATGATGAATGGTGGTCATCTCAGGCTATGAAGAAGGGTAAGAGTCCTTATTAAAGAACGAGAGAGGACAGATGAGATGGCTCAGTGAATCAAAGTGCATGTCATACAAGTCTGCCAACCTGAGTTCAGTCCCCAGAACCCACAGTGGACAAAGAGAAATGACTCTGAAAAGTTGTCCTCTGACCCCCACATGTATACTGTAGCACATATGTGCACCTGCATTCACTGAAACACACACACACATACACACACACTCAAGTTTAATAAAACACATTTTAAAAGAGAAAGTGAATAACTTCTTTTCTTTCTTTTTTTTTTGTGGGAGGTTTCTCTGAGACAGGGTCCCATCATGCAGCTCTGGCTGCCTCAAACTCACAGAAATCCTCCTGCGTCTGCCTCCTCAGTGTGTGCTGGGAGGAGAGGTGTGTTCCAGCATACCCAGCCCACCAATAAGCTAATGTTTACAGATTTTTCTGGCTTTTTTTTTCTTCCAGAGACAGGGTTTCTCTGTGGCTTTGGAGGCTGTCCTGGAACTAGCTCTTGTCAGGCTGGTCTCAAACTCACAGAGACTGCCTGTGTCTGCCTCCTGAGTGCTGGGATTAAAGGCATGCGCCACCAAAGCCCAGTGTCTGAGACTCTTAAAGCAGAAGCCAACATCTGACTGCCAGGAGGCTGATTGATTCTCAGTTACAGGTCTGGGTATTTCTTCTGCTTCTTTCTTTCTTCTTTCTTCCCCTTCCCTCCTCCTCCGTCTTCCTCTTCCTTCTTCTTTTTTTGTAATACTGGAGAATCAAACCCAGAACCTTGTGCATGCTAGGCGAGTGCTCTACATCCCTGGCTTAGATGTGCTTTAGGTAATCTGTAAAGTTACTAAGCTAGTGGCCAACTTTTAAATGTATAGGTTTACTTAAAATGTTGGACTTCTGTTGCTGTGACAAAATGGCTGAAAAAAAATCAGCTTAACTGAAGGAAAGGTGTTTTAGGCTCAGAGTTTCTGCCATGGTCACTTAGCCCTGTCATTGGGACTGTAGGGAGATGGAACGACGGTAGACTGCTCACCTCAAGATGATGGAAAAGCAAAGACAGACAGACACACCTTTGGCAAGGTTAAGAGCCCTGGTGATGCAAAGTACCTCCCCGCAGTGTTGCCTCCTGAAGACCAAACCTCTGTGGGCCTATGAGAGGACATTTACAATTCAAACACTTAAAAATCTGTGTGTTAGCTGGGTGTTGGTGGGTGGTGCATGCCTTTAATTCCAGCACTTGGGAGGCAGAGGCAGGTGGATCTCTGTAAGTTCGAGGCCAGCCTGGTCTACAGAGCGAGTTCCAGGACAGCATCCAAAACAGTACAGAGAAACCCTGTCTCAGAAAATTAAAAAAAAAAAAAAAGAAACAAAAATCTCTATGTTAACAACAACAACAATAACAAGAAAACCAATAACAGATAAGTCAAGGCCCATGAGATGGCTCAGTGGGTTAAAGTGCTTGTCACCAAACTGACAGATAACCTGAGTTCAAACCCAGATACACACAGGGTAGGAGAGACCAATATCCCACAAAGTTTCCTATAATGTCCACACATGGCCAGTGGCGTGCACTATATATACATATACATACCTTCCCTCACAAACAAGTAAATATTAACAAAACTATCTAGGTGGCAGGGCTGGGGAGATGGTCCCCAGCACAACATCAGTGCTAGGAAAATGTGGCAGCCTGTCTGTAATTCCAGTGCTAGGGGGCCGGAGACAGAGTCCCCAGAGCAGTCTTACTAGCTTGGACTAGGGGAGTGGGCCAGCTCCGGGTCCATGTGGGAGACTGCAGCCCGATATACAACATGGAAACGGATCGAAGAGGACACAAACTGCTGGCTCCCACATGCGTGTGCATCCCAGCCTACGCATACATGTGCACCCGTATGAACGTGTGTGAGGGCGGGCAGACCATACCAGGGCTCTCCTGTGGGGCTCAGAGGACAGCATGCACAACGAGGGTTCAAGGCTCTGGACTCAAGCTGTCAGGGAACCATCACCTGCTGAGCCGTCTCCACTGGCACACTTCCCAGTGTCTTGACCTCGGACGAATCTGTCATTTCTGGATCCACTGTGAAACCTTGCAGCTGCATCAGTACACAATTAATCTCGCTCGCTGTGTGCCTTGGGTGTTCTCTTACTTGTGAGTTACTGCCCTGTCTCTCCGCTGTAAGCTGTGGTTAGAGAGGCTGATTTCTCCCCATCCCCGAAGTACCTCAAGCAGCACAGGCACTTAGCTCAGAATGGCTGGCTGGTAACGCAACGCGAACACGCCTCCCTAGAAGTGGACACTGATTGTTTTTGTTCGCAAAGTCGTCTTCCTTTTCTGGGAACTGTTTACCATCTCCCCCCTCCCACCACCTGGTTAAAAAAGGAAGCACTGCTCCCCTCCTTTAGTCACTGCCCTCCCCCACCCCGTTCATTTCCTTCTGAGTTCCAGAAAGGAACACACAGTCTCACCAAGTTCTTGGAAGGGATCAGCAGTTATGACAAACATTTGTTGAGTGTGCGCCAGGGACTGCTCCGAATGCTGCGCAAACATTGTGTTCAAGTTCATTAATTCCCTACAAGGCAGGTGATATTATTTTGTTTTGAGACAGGGCCTTACGAAGTCCAGGCTGGCCTTGATGTGTTGCTACGGATCCTAATCCGCCCATTTCTAGTTGGGTGCGGGGGTTGCAGGTGGATCTCCATGTGAGTTATGAGCCTTCCCACCTCCACCTACGCTCAGACCCAGGGAAATGGGACCCTCTGATTGACTAGTAAGGGTCAGGTGTTCACCCCAGCAGACAGTTTCATTGACCCCAATGTGTGTATGGTGTGTGATTTATGTGGTGAGAAACATGTGCGATGTGTGTTTTGTGTGCATAATGTACTTATGTGTTACATGGATGGTGTGTATGACGTGAGTGTGGAGTGTGATATGGCATGTGTATATGTGTGATATGTGTGGGACATGCCTATTCATCATGTCCATGAGATATGGGGTGCTTTTTTAAAAATCTTTATGTGTTTGCATCTATATGTGTGTGATGGCCCATATGTACATGTGTGTGGAGGTCAGAGGACAACCTTGTGGATCATTCCTTACATTCCACCTTGTTTGAAGAGTCTCTTGCTGTTTTCCCACTATGTACACCAGGCTAGCTCGACCTCAAATGTTCAGTTTCTGATTTTCCTAGGAACACTGGGGTTACAGACACACACTGCTAAACCAGAGCTCTGTAGGTACTGGGGATTTGAACTCAGGTCCTCATGCTTTACCTACTGAGTCATCTCCTCTGCTCCTTTTATTTGTGTGTGTGGTGGGTGGCAGTTCCCAAGGAGAAGGGAACTTCTTCTACTGCCTAAGCGGAGTGAAGAACGGAAGGTACATGAGGCAAAAACTGTGCTCCCCGGGTAGAGATGAGGGAGGGTTCAGGGAAAGTGTGCGTGGAAAACAGAGCAGGGCAAAGGAGGCAGAAAGATCAAGGATTTATGAGCAATTGCCATGAGGACTTTGCCCAGGAAGGTAACCTTGATCTTAACTGTGGCGCAGATTCCGTGAATACTCTGGACTTTTCCCTCCCTGGTGCACATTGCACACATTTACACATTGCCAAAGGGGATGGAAGGTGTAGAAACTCCTCCGCAGAGGCCAGAGGAAGAAGCCCTGGTCCCCGAGCCATGCCCAGCATGGGATCACAGAAATGGCTGCCTACACAGCTAAAACTCTCCAGAGTCAAGGGGAGATCAGGAACTGTAGCATAGATTCTAATTGGCTTTAATAATAATAATAATAAAAACACCTGGGGTCAGGTATAGGGGTGAATGCTGAAAGATCAGAGAAGCAGAGCAGCCAGCCACCAGTTCTTACCTCTACTGAATCCTCAAACCCAAGGGCGATGCTGTCCCTATGAATCCTCAGACTGAATGCCCTGAGCTCCTATCTCCCCGCTTTATATTCCTCTAGTGCTGGGATTAAAGGCGTGTGACTCTCTAGTACTGGGAATAAAGGCATCACTGACTGGCCATTTGTCTTTTAGACTGGATCAATCTTTAGTAGCCCAGGGTGGCCTTGAACTCACAGAGATCTGTCTGCCTCTGCTTCCCGAGTGCTGGGATTAAAGGTGTGTGCCAACACTGTCTAGCCTCCATGGCTAACTAGTGGTTTAGCTCTGCACTCTGATCTTCAGGCAAGCTTTATTTGTTAGGTCACAAACAAAATATCACAAGGAACTGTTTCTCCGGTCCTCCCAGGACACTGGGTTCTGACACTAACTGCCCAGAATTGGTGTAAATTCCACAGGTAAATGATTCAGTTCCACAACATTGGCCCTTTCTAATGCCAATCCCAGTAAGTGGGTTCCTTAGTTACCCACAACATCTTCCTAACTTGGTTCCAAAACAGAGGTTCCTCATGAGTTTTCATGGTCAGGAATCTGCTAAAATATCTCCCAGGAAGCCAGACCAGCGTGGGGCGTGGTAAATGTCCCTAGAGCAAGGGCAGGCAGGACTCCTCTTCTGGGCTGCCAATGGGGAAGGTGGAGGGGACGGAGTCTTAAGATAGCCCCGAAAATAAGTCATAGCATTTCTGATTGGACTCACCAAAGAGCGGTCTAAGGGAAAAGTGCTGTGAAGGACAGCATCGCTAGAGATCCTCCCCCACCACGATCCAAGGGCCAGGGAGGGAGGGCAGAGAATAGGGGAGGAGGTCTTCCGAGCACGCAGTTACTGTACCTGTGCAATGCCTCCTGCTTGAAGGCACTCAAAGTCAAGGGATTAATATTGGGGTGTCTCAGCTGAATGTTTGTATTTTGGGGTGCTCCTGCAGTCTGTTTTGCCAGGTGTAATAAGAAAGCAATCTGGGCTACCTGGAAATAACAGCAGTTTTGGGCAAACCATATCATTGCAAAGGGAAAACCAGGCTAGTGTGTGTCTCAGAGATATGGCTGGCTCCATCTTCGCTTCTCCTGGATTTCACTAGAAACAAACACTGAAAAACAGAAAGCCAGCAACATTCTCCAAGTGGACGGGGCTCTGGTGTCTCAGATAAACAGATTTGGCGCACAAGCTCCCCTGGTTCCTGCACCTTACTTTTGGGACTCTCTACCCCTCTCAATGGAGAAGCCTGGACACACTGAGCCTTGGCCCCTCGCCCGCTGCTCCTGAGGGGTGCTCCCTCTTCCCTCCTCCCTCCTCTCTTTTCTTGTTCTTCCTCAGGATATAGAGTAAAAATCAAGAAATCAAAAACTAGGAAATACTTTCAGAGGGCACCAGAGGCGAATTCAGACTCTCATAGGTCCCTTCAGGCAACGTGCTTTCAAAAGCTGCCCCAAACTCTGTCCGTTGCTTGGTCTCTACCTCCTTGATTGGTCAACTACTCAGCCTCCCCAAATACCTCCCCAAAAACTCTGGATTGAACCAGGGATCTTTTGGTATGTATGTTTAAATGTGCATTTTTATGCAGTGTGTGTGTAACGGTACATATATGAATCTCAGGGGACAACCTCAGGTGTCAGCATTACAGAGTGCCCACCAAAGGTGACCACACAGACACAGTCTAGAGCCAATTGAAAGTCTTTATTCTGAGTTCAAGACCAGCCTGGTTTCAGAATGAGTCCCAGGACAGCCAAAGCTACACAGAGAAACTCTGTCTCAAAAAAAAACAAAACAAAAACAATAATAAAAAAGAAGGAAGTCTTTATTCCAGCCAGCTGGGACTACACTCAGGTATTTGTGACCCAAGTGTAGCACTGAGCATTTAGAGCAAGGGGGTTTTAAGGGCAAAAATACATCCTGCATCTCCCTTAGCAGCTGCAGCATTTTAAGCAAGCAGTTTAACAGAAGCCAAGATAAGCAGTTACCTAGAAGGGGAGGCTTGCACAAGCAGGCCGTTTAACACAAGATAAGCTAGTTGGGGCATCTTGACCTGGGGCCCTTGGAATAGAGATGGGTAATTTTCCGAAGGAGACTCCATCAAGAAGGTCAAATTCTAGTTAAACCTAAAATGCCTCAGCAATAATGCAAAATGGAGGAACCCTCTGCACTGTCTTGCCTTGTCACATCAGTTCTTGCTTTCTGTCATTTTGTTTTTGTTTGTTTTTAGAGACACGTTTTCTCTGTATTGCTCTGTATCTGCTTGCTTTGTAGATCAGGCTGGCCTCAAATTCAGAAATCCACCTGCCGCCTCAGTAGTACTGAGATTAAAAGAATGCACCACCACCTGTGGCTCTTGCTTTCCCTCTTGCTTGATACAGGTCCGTTCGTTGTTTTCCACTGTGTGTACCAGACTAGCTGGCTCACAAGCTTCCGGGGAGCCTCCTGCCTCTGGCTCTCCTCTCCTTCTAGCAGTACTGGGGTTGCAGATGTTTATGCTACGCATCTGGCTTTACAAGGGTCCTGGGGATTTAACCTCAGGCTTCATGCTTTTGTGGTAAATGGTTTTACACACTGTGTCATCTCCCAGCCCCCCTCTCTCCCTTTCTGACCCATTGGTCCAGTGTTTCCATCTGTCCACACACCGTCTCCACCACCACAGACTCAAATATGGCAGAATTCTTGTCTTCATAATCTTTCTCTGTCTCCCCTGCCCACATCATCTCACTCCTAAAAAACGCTCCACCTGGACTCAGCGGTGTCTGTTCTTTGCCACTCTTCCCTGAGAAGGGACACAAACCATGGTCTATTCTGACACTAAATATGCACCTCCAGAGACATTCTTCAACAACCATTCCTCCAGCTCAGTCCTCCCAATGAACTGGTCCCCTTCTGCTCAGCTTGGCTACAAGCCAGAGGTTCCCACGGGCTTTTCTTCATAGTCAGTATCTTCCAGATGGCTCCCGGAACCCAGGGCAACCTCATTTCCTGTCACTGATTTCTCACAAGAATGTCTTATCCCTGCTCCTATTTTGGGTATTGGTATAGAACCAAGAGTTGTGTGTCAGCTCCCTCCCACGTTTAAAGTGTGTTGGGACTCAGGATGTTCTAAAGGATGTTCTTCGAGTTTGAGACCAGCCTGGTCTATAGAGCAAGTTCCAGGCTAGCTAGGACTACATAGTGAAACCCTATCTCAAAAAGAAAAGGAAAGGAAAAGGAAAAAGAAAAAGAATCAGCAAAAATCAACCAACCAACCAACCAACCAAAAAAAAAAACCAACAACAAAGCAAACAAAAAGAAAAAGAAAATGTCTTGGGAGAAGGATTGTGTGTCTAAGACCAGAGTGGGCTATATAGCAAGCAAGACTCAGTCTCACATTACAAACAAAAAAGTTGGGCGTTGGTGGCGCATGCCTTTATTCCCAGCACTCGGGAGGCAGAGGCAGGCAGATCTCTGTGAGTTCAAGGCCTGTCTGGTCTACAAAGTCACACAGAGAAACCCTGTCTCGAAAAATAA